ATAGATTCATTCACTTGGCTACTTTGTTCTAATCAATAAAAAGCTGAAATCCGCCCAAAAGCCATCAATAAATCAGTCTGAGGTATTCTTCGCACGAGCGGCGTTAAGTTGACTCTACAATTCACATACATATGTACATTTTTGACCACGAGCGTTTTTAGGCATGTTAATTGTGTAAAGAGAAAAAACGAAAAAAATATCAAATTAACATCACGTGATGATTATGCGCACATTTCGCATTTCATGTCGGTCTGTGTTTGTTCAGCTTATACGTGTTTCGAATTGTGACGCTATTTTACTATGATTACTATATAAGGTGTTACTTTTTGCGACTCCAAATTAATGCGAATTTTTGCACAATTAATTATGGCACTTTTGAAAATTTTCCTCAAGCTTATAGAGTTTCAACAGTCCATAAAGTGTTAAACACTTAAGCAAATATGGTCTCACCGCCAAATTTATAACGGTTTGATAATGAATGAATATATGGATCTCCAAATATTTCAAACGGGTGGATACATACATACATATGTATATATRTACAYAAACTCGAGAAATAYAGATTAAATAAAGAAGGTTGTATTTTATAGATATAGTATGATCAGGTTTTGGAATTTTTTGTTATGTTTGAATAATACATATATTAAAGTAATAAAAAACAATAATATCTAAACAGTTTGGATTCCTATTTTTAATATGTTGTAAATTAAAACAGTATATAGAAATACAATATTCGGGTTCAGTCTTGAAATTGAACATAAAACTTTAACAAACACTAAAAAATMTGCTATAATTTCAAATACTTCACGAAATTATTTCATAGATAGATTCTTATGAATATTTTATATACATATGCATATGCATTTATACATACATATACTATACACATAAGTTGCACATTCTATTATTATTCTCGAATAATATTAATTTAAAAACTTTCCACTCTTTGTAATTCAATAGATATGCTATCATGTCGTCAAGTRCTCAATATACTCACCATGCTTGGCTTCATGTTGAACTATGCACTGCGCGTAAATCTRACAATAGCCATTGTGGCAATGGTGCATCCAGATGTGCATTCGCCACCGCGTACGGGCGGCAAAATGAGTGCCGCACAGCTAGCTGATAATGCCACAGCAGCATCAACCACAACCACGACAACGACCACGATAGCAACAACTCAGCTGCCACCAACTGACGATGGAAATGATTACTTYCCATGGGACTCTTATCAAACGAACTTTGTACTAGGTTCCTTTTTCTGGGGTTATATATTAACTGAACTGCCCGGCGGTCGACTTGCTGAACTAATCGGTGGACGCCGTGTCTTCGGACATTCCATGCTCTGGGCTAGTTTGCTTACACTGATTACACCATTAGCGGCACACATTAATTATATAATGTTAATTATTGTACGCGTTGTATTGGGCTTTATGTTGGGCGCATCATGGCCAGCTATACATCCTGTGGCGGCTGTATGGATTCCACCAATGGAACGTTCTAAATTTATGTCTCACATGATGGGTAAGTGCAATCTTATATTCAAGCAATAACAATGTTTTTAATGCAAATTTCTTCTATTTAAATTGACAGCTTCCTCCTTGGGTGCAGCTATAACGATGCCGGTGTGTGGATACTTCATTTCCATTTGGGGTTGGCCCAGCGTTTTCTATTTGACAGGTAGGTGAAAATTCTTTACGACGATTTATATTTACTCTATTAAAGTTTAAAAAAAACAAATTCTTCGGAATTTATGAAGCAATTACAAAGCGAAAAAATTAGAAAATATTTGCACAAACGGCCGTGTTGTTGAAAATACCTACGGCAGTGCTGCCAAGTTTTCGTTTTCTGCGGAAGCGGATGACTTTGCAGTAGTTGCCACTGACAATACCTAAAATATTGAAAAGTGTTAGTAATATTTATACCTAATTGTTAAGAAACGTAAAAAAATATTAATTTTAGCCCCACTTGCTGATACAAAATAATAAGCGGAATGTATAACAATACATATATAATTTTTATTCTTCTAGGTGGTGTTGGCCTTTTGTGGTCTATCTGCTGGTTTACCTTTGTTTTTGAGACACCCGCCACACATCCGCGTATCACCACCGAGGAACGGCGCGAAATTGAAGACGCCATCGGCAGCTCGACTTCCAAGAAACGTCCCAGTTATGTGCCATGGTGCGATCTGTTCACCTCCGCACCTGTGTGGGCAATTGTCATTACGCACGGTTTATCTGTATTTGGYTTCTTCACTGTCGTTAATCAGCTGCCGACATTTATGGATCAAATATTACATTTTAATATTAAACAAGTAAGTAAAAGTTTAACAAATTCGGCAACACATGTGTTTCRACATAATTTATTTTTTACTGTTTTATTTTTAGAATGGACTATTCTCGTCATTGCCATATTTGGGCAAATATATAATGGCTTTCAGTTCGTCCTGCTTTGCTGATTATCTGCGGCAACGTGGTACGCTGTCTACAACGGCCACAAGGAAGGTTTTCACCGGTTTTGGTGAGTAATTAAAAAAAAAAAATATTATTAATGTTTAACAGCTAACATTCTTTACATTTCTTTATTACAGCACTGATATCGCCCGGCACCTTGATGATTGCGCAAATATTTTTGGGACGCGATGCAGCGTGGTCAGTGACGATCTTTACCTTGGCCTTATTCACACACGGCGCCGTAACAGCAGGCTATCTCGGCAACGGCTTGGATATTGCGCCCAATTTCAGCGGCACCATTTTCGGTTTGGCCAATACGCTCTCTTCATTCGGTGGCTTCCTGTCGACGTGGATGGTGGGTGCGCTGACCTATGATGATGTAAGTTACATAAATATATTASTGATTTATGTTATAATAATTGAGAATTAATATCTAATTTATTTTACAGAAATCATATCATCAATGGCAAATAGTTTTTGGYATATTGGCCGTCACTTACATTTCCAGCGCTATTGTTTACATTATTCTGGGCTCCGGTGAACTGCAGCCTTGGAACAATCCACCGGAGAAACAACGCAGATCTGTAGTTAGTGCCGAAGAGGGTGAACCATTAAAGAATGAGAAAGCGAACGGCTTGGAAGATGCTTTGAAATAAGCAGCATGTTTCGGATATTAGTAAAAACTAATGTAAAAGCATTACTTTCAAAATCAGAAAGTAAACTGTTACACAAAAAGTTTAAAGTATTAGAGAAATATTTTCAGACCACAACAAACGCCTTGTCAACAACACATTTTTAGCATTTTTGCTACAAGGTTATGTTATGTTGGTAGGAAATATATTTGTAATGGAAAAAGCAATTAAGGCCAATCTCAGTCACTCATTTAATTATGTGCACCCCCACCTTAACGCGTAATGCCATAAATAGTGATTGAACTTAGTGTTAGAGATTCATCAAAATTCTACTTTAAGCCATATATATGTACATGTTATAAATAGTTCAAATAAGTTTGGCATATAAGTAGGTTAGGAATATTGGATGGTTTGGATAAATACTCACATTGTGAGTAAAGACACAGGGTTCGTGCCATTCCAAGCTTGGTAGAGCGCAGAAATAACAAAACATGCAACTTAATACTGAAAAGACTTGAAATATTTGCCTTTATGTAAAGTTATTTAATAAATACTAAATAGTTAAATGAATACTGGTTTCGTACAAAATCATGTGTATGATATGATATTTTCTTAAATAATAAAAAGTAACGGTAAGTTTTAACGGGTTTAATAACGTTTCAACTACTGGCATACATATGACAGCGGATGAGTTGCCAAACAAGGAAATAAAAAAGAAATAAAAATATTAATGTATACATTAAAATATAATAGAGTGTGTGTTATGAGATAATGAGGCATAATAAAGTTTTCAATCTGAAATTTAAGCGCAAACACACCACATGCACGTATGTACGTTTGTTTGCGCATGTAAAATAAAGACATTAATTAGTTTCSCGTTATTATTATGCAAATATTTAGATTGAAAACAAAAACATTAACAAAAACAAAAAATATTCGTATGTATGCAATTAGTGTTTACAATTATTTACAATCGCATTRAAACATAGTTATAGTTAAGAAATTGTATTTAAAGATATTTGTACATACACACACATATACAAGATTTAAAATAATGTAAGTCTTTTATGTGTTTAAAATTAAAAATTCAGTGAAATACAGTGTCCATACAAATATAATGTACGCGAATAATTACTTTTCTCTATTGAATTATTAGTAGTGTAAGCTTTTAATGCATTGAAATGTATTTTATCTAAAATTTAATGCAAATAAAGTTGATAATAATGAAAAAACATAAAAAATATAGTTTGTATCATTTCCTTCAGTATAGAATAACCTTTTATACCTAGTATCGTTTTAGGAAAATTATATTGATAACGATGATTTTTGACCTCAATGAGTTCGGTATACTTGAAAATCCAATTTGTTTCCAAAAATTTACTCTTTTCGAATATCGGATTTAGCCAAGTCGCAATAAGTACTTCCTACACCCTAGTAAACTGGTTGGAAAATGGTTCCGAACTGACCCAAAACTAGACCCGATACGGGTTATTGCACAAAATCTAAAAATCAAAAAAAAAAAAAAAAAAATAAATAAATAAAAGATAAAAAACCATAGATTGAAACTCGTTTATGCTTAGTATAACATTGTTCATAAACTAGCCGCACAACAGTGGAAAAAACTTCTTATATTATTTATCACAGAGCTCCAAGAACTATCATATATGCACTATATTTTGCTTAATAAAGTTTCCATAATAACACAAAGATTATAGTCATGACTTTAAATTGTATCAAATACTTGAAAGCGAATTAAATTYCATATCATTATATTTTATATTAGCTCAAATATAAATTAAATATAATATAAATGTCAATTCTGTTTTATTATGCAATGTGAATGACCACACTGTGGTTAGACCTTTAATTTAACAGAGTTGCATTTTTGACATTTCGCACAAATGTTTATATTTTGTTAGCGCGCGATATTTTACAAGCACTTTGTTTTGATTGTATTAAATTTTATAAAGTTTTTTAACTTCATTAAGAAAATATTGCAGACGTATTTAAAATGAGTAAAAAGTCCACGCGCTCTTCTAAACCTACTGAAGAAACAGTTGTTCCTGCAGCGAAAGCGCCAGCGCTTTACAAAGTGATGTTCATATCAAAAGAATTATTGGAAGATCCTGAAAATGAGTTGACGTTGGAGTACTTTTATCATCCTGGAAAAGGCAAGCCCACACTGTTTATTACAAAATCCAACACAGAGCTAATGGAAGTTAAAGAATTTGCTGAACCCAGACGTTGCTGGTTAATCAACGATGATGTGTGCTCAAACGGACGCATCTACATGACAACACCAATCGATATAACGCTGCTGGCATTGCACCATATACGTTTACATTGTTCACAAAAAGCGCTGGCTTTAGATGATATTGGTGAGGCAAATGATAAGAGCACTTTGCGGTTATTGCGTGAATTTATACGCGGCGAGGAGCACTTGAGATGTATCGCCGATGTAAAGAAAGCCAATGGCATGATATTTTACAAATATAACCCGGAGAAAACGCTAGCGTGGTTAGCGATTAAGACACGTCGTGTAACTGCAAAACTGCGCAGCATTGGCGTGCATTGTGGGGAGAGTGCCATGTCTAAAAATTATGTACGTGGTGAACTTGAGGGCGAGAACAAGGAAGAATCTGATATGGATTATTTACGCATGGCATGCGACATAGTGGGTGACTATTTGGATGTAGATTTACACGAGGAGCTTAAAACATATTTGGAAATACCTGAAGAGAAACCGTTGACAACTGCACCGAAGAACAAGGAAAAAGAGAAAGGTGGCAAGAAGCGAAAATCCCTTCAACAACTTAATTCTAATGAAAACAAGAAAATAAAATTGGAGGATAAAGAAACAAATGCTRCGGATAAACTTAAAAGCAGTGGTTTAGTTGATGGTTCACCAACTAATGACCATAGTAGACCAAATAGTAGTTCCAGTGAGGAAGTAAGCCCGCTTAGTGTGGTGCAAGCACCAATTACCCCTTCGCCGGTTAAAGAAAGAAATTTAACAGCTAAGGAAAAAGCGTTAGCGAAGAGTGCAAAAGGTACGAAGAGCATTGCATCATTCTTTAGTAAAAAATAAGGCAATGACTGTTTCATTGTTTTTTTTTTTGACTTGTAAAATTTTTTATAKTTGTTATTTTATTGTCATTAATTAAGTAAGCAAAACAAAATGCTTGTTATTTTGCATATATTTTTAATACTCTGTTTTATGCATATTAAGAATAAAATAATCGCAAATAAAAATATATTTTAACTAAAATGGTTTACATTCGTTTGTTTTTTATAAATGTGACAAAGTGTAGTAATGAAATAAATTTTATGTGTGTCATCAAGCCTAATTCTTTGCTTTTTGAAATTTTATCGAATAATATTTAACTGAAAATTTCAGATGACAAATTTATAATATTGCCAAAGAATTTTAAATAATAATTTTTTATAATGTGTGTATATAATATAATATTTCAGAACCGGCAGGCATTTAAAGGTCAGCGAGTAATTTTCGTAGGAAAAGCCGCTTGTATAATATTCATATTACACACCTTTGCCATCCACCGGCACTCGTTTATGTTCTCACATACGTACATACATACATATATGTAAATGTGGGTAGAAGGATAAGTATCCCTCGGGCATCAATCCTTTAGGGATAATTTAAAAATTAGCATGTCAGCAGTTTCAGCGGCTATAAAAGCMGTGGCGTTAAAAGCTGTGCATTTAGTAGTTAACGGTAAATGGAGTACGCAAGTTTTACGGGAATTGTTTAATGAATAATATATAAAAAGATTAACCTGAGCATTATGGAAGTTAGCAATAGAGGCTCGGAAGCCACATTACCACAAGTGGATATAAAACTGCCGACGCCCACCAAGAATGCCGATTCTTTGAGTACCATATCTGGGCTTAGTGAAGTGCCGAGCGATATAATTATTAAATCTCGCATTAAATATGGCTCAAGGTGGTCTGCCTGCAAAGGCTTGATTATGGAATACTCGAAGAATACAACCATTCATGGATTACGTTACTTGGTGGAATTGCATAGGCCATTTTATGAGAAGTGAGATAATGCGAATGTAGAGCGCTTTTAAATGAGTGATAGTTATAGAATAGTGGCTATAATAATATTTTTATAAAATGAATTTACAGATTATATTGGTTCGTTGTGCTTGTAATTTCGGTATATTTTGCGATTTCGCTCATTTGGGCCACTTACCTTAAATGGCAGGACACGCCCGTAATATTGGGTTTCGATGAAACRCTTGTGCCGGTGCATAAGATTCCGTTTCCTACAATTACAATATGCCCGGAAATAAAAATGGAACGTAATGTCTTTGATTTCACCAATGTTTCGAGTCGCATACTGGAGGAAATACATAAATCTGGCTCATTCCAAAATTATGAAGATTTAAGCGAAACGGAGTAAGTTTTTAGACCGTTATAGTTGTACGTGCGTATATGCTTATATGTACAGATACTCGTTTTCCTCGTAGTTTGGAGCGCTTTATGTCCACTTTGCACATTTGTGAATCCGAAGTTGTACAACGTTTCGCAAAATATTTACCRAAGAACCTAAGACCTAACATTACGCAAACACTAGTCGATATTTCCATTTCGAAGAACGAAACGGGCCCGTTTTGTAAGTGGAATGGTCGATTTTACTTTTGTGACAAAATTTTCAATTTTGTGGCAACTGACGAGGGTATTTGCTATCAGTTTAATGGTCTACAGGCTAAGGATATATATCGAGATGTCAGGTAATGTGTTCATTGAGAAAACAAAATATTAAAAAAAAATTTTTTTTTTTTAAATGCTGCAGCTTTGTAAATTATTATGACGAGGACGTTGTCGATTTCAATAATTTCTTCGAGCCGCTACCACGTTTCAACGAGTTAACCGGCAATTGGTCGTTGGACGATGGTTACGTAGGTCAAGGCTATAATTCTTATCCTCAACGTACAGCATTTTCATCGGCGCGCAATGGATTTTTTGCTTTTCTACAAGGTTTCCAGCATAATTTCGAATATGCTTGCCGAAGCTTTAAGCAAGGGTATAAGGTGAGTGGAATCGACAGGTATTGAAGTTAAACACAAAATAGTTAAGATTAGACAAGAAGGCGCTACGATTTTTATTAAATTCATCTAACGGTATTTCCACGAATCCGAAACGCTATCAACTGGAATCCACAAGACAGTCGACGGAAAGGCCGGAACGCTCTTACTTTTAGAAGGAACTTGGACGTCGAAATATCTAAGGTCCAAAGAAGTTGGAGTCAAATCAAGAGACTAGCCCAAGACCGAAATAAATGGTAGACTCTCATTATATGTTATGTTCTTAGGTTACGTGGGATCAGTTCAAGTAATGACATCATATTTTAATGAAATGGAAATTTGGAATTCTCATCGTTCCGTGATGTCTACTAACCTGCTAGTAAACATCGACCTCAACCCTATACACACTCATTTGAAGCGCTTATTTCATTATTAACCAAAATGAAATAAATAATTAATTTTTTCTCGCTCCACAGGTTTTTCTTACGTCCCCGGAGAGCGTGCCGGTGACAACGAGTAATTACATTTTGCTGCCGCACGGCGACGAAGTGATGGTTAGCGTACTGCCGCATTATGTTATATCCACAGATAATCTGCATGACTTCAGCCCAGAGAAGTGAAATCATTTATATACAACACTTCGTGTGCAGCAATAATTTACAATCCTTTCCATTCTTTATATTTTAGACGTCAGTGTTACTTCAATGACGAGCGTTATTTGCGTTATTTCCGCTCCTATTCACAATCCAATTGCCAGGTGGAGTGCTTAACCAATTTTACCATAAATAAATGTGGGTGCGCCAAATTTTGGATGCCAAGTAAGCCCCCCTCACAGCTTTCCCATATACAAACTTATACATAACCTTCTATTGCACCTTCCTACAGAGCCACAAGATGTGCCCGTCTGCAGTGTGGAGGACATAAACTGCTATGATACTGCGCAGTCTGAATTGAGCATCCTGATACAGAATCAAACTATGCAAGCCACCATGGATCCGAATATGAAAATCATTTGTGACTGTATGCCGGCCTGCACTTCGCTGGATTACAATGTGGAGATTTCAAGTGCACGCTATGAGCTAAACAAAACATTGCAAGCTTTCCGTGAGGTMTACGAGCATGAGGAGTAAGTATAACTATTGCCAACCGATAATTAATTCTCAGTTAGTAGTTAATATTTCTTTATTCCTTAGTTTCATGGGTTCGCGCTTRTCGGTCTACTTCAAGGAGCATCAATTCACGGCAATCAAACGGACTGTGCTCTTCAGCATCGCCACCTTGATAGCCAACTGGGGTGGCATTCTCGGCTTATTTATGGGCATTTCCAGTTTGAGTCTGATCGAATTGGTATACTTCTTCTCAGTGCGTTTGTATGATAATTTGCGCAAACGTCGTCAAACCAAGAAGCGTTTGATGAAATTGGAAGCAGAGCATGAGAGTTAAATAACCAAGCCATACAAGACATATTATATGCGTGGCGTATCTTATGAAAATACAATGAGTTATACATACATACATACATTTCCCGTTTCAAGTAGCTGATTTTTTAATAATTTATGTGTGTGCTTTATGGTTTTTAAATTAATAAAGCAAAATCTAGTTGTTGATATTTTTTTCTTCAATAAGTTGATCGATCACTAGTAATATTGGGGAACCGATAAAGTTGGCAAGTGTTTAGAATTGCGGCTGACAGAGCTTTTACCCTTTGATGAGAAGGGTGATATTCTATTTGATATATAAATCAATATTTTCATTTATTTCTCTTCAATAGTAGTCTCGCTATGGGTCTAACCAAACATTACGAATGTCCTACAACAATAATGTTTTTATATGCACGCCTGWCCTCAATAAGTACCCGAAAAGTACCTGGTATTATATTTTATTTCAAACTTYACTGTAAATTAAATAAATGAATATCATTTTATACCCTTTTTAGCGTATTTTTTTTCTAGACCATCTTCTCTGTGCGACACTCCTTAACGTTTCAAATCGAGTTTGAAACTTGAATTTGATGTCTTAGATTACATTTGTCTCGATTTTAGAGGAACAAAAAATAAATTATTAAAGTTCCCATTGGACAATTTGAGCTTTGCGTTCTGTCCAACACATCTTAACATTATCTAAWCAGAACCAAACTCAATTTTCTTAATGGGATTTAGTATTATCGGTTGGAGAGTTGAACTGTGAWATCGTTAATTTGATTAATTTTTGTTTTTTTTGGGAAACGGTTTATTATGGGCGTTAAGGACTATAAGTACCATCCTATTCTATACTCAACACTTCCTTAAGCTTAYAACCGCTTGGCATTTAAATTTCCATTACCTGTTACATAGCACTGCAGCGCGTCCCATTAGAAAAAACAACAAAATTGGAATGTCTTTTTTTCGTATAATTATTTACAAGGATGGCGTTATTAGCTCGTTACTCTTTTACGCTTCATCAAACTTATTTATGTTTTCATACTGACTGCTTAAATACTCGTAATGTACATTTACATAGAGTTTGGTTTGGTTTTGTTTTCTCACTTTACTGTTGCAAAATAAGTTCTATTGCTTGTGTAGCTTCAAGGTAGTTGTACGTGTGAGTGTATATATATATGCATGTGTGTCTGTGTGTGGAAGTGTAYAATTCTGTAAGCTTATGCAAATTGGATGTGTAGCTTTTTTCGTTTAATATGCAATAAAATTTTAAATATTCATTTTTTATAACGATAATATATATGTATACATATATATAATTATTTACTTTTAAGTTTAGAGTTTACAAATATTATTGTACGTTCTCTTTCGCAACATGCCGTCGGGGTTGAAAAGGACGCAAAGCGGACTTTTTGTTTTGCTTTGCTTTGTGTTAGGGAAGCTCTTGCATTTGTTGTTGTATTAATGATAGAATTAAAAAGTAAACTACAATATCCAAGTGCTTTTGCTTTAAGAAACAAAATTATAGCATAATTTCACAACCGCGCCAAAGCTTCCCTGGCCTTAATGTCCTTTTATGCGCATTATTTCTAATATATCWTGGCTTTATTAAAAAATGTTTAAGTTTAACACAAGCAATATGGGCCAGTTGTACAGTATGATTATGCATAAAAAACACGCAGTATATATGTATGCTAGCTTCAACAACAACAATAAACATACATATAGGAAATATACACTTTATGCTAGTTATTAGCATTGTTCTTGAATTTGGTATGCTATTGATTTATTTCGCTCTATAACTYGAATAATAATTATAATAATAATAAATGATGATGTTCCCACTTTATTTTAATTACTTTAGAGTTTCACTCTGTATTCTTATTTATTTGCTGCTGCCTGTATGTACACCAAAGCTATGAAATTGTKGCAAAAACAAAATATCAAGAACACTTTTGTAATTAACCGTTAAATCAACGCAAGCATATTTTTCTTTGTATATCTGTATGTGTATGTATGTATAAAAGTACAATGGCTGTATAATTGCTTGAAAGSTTACGGCTTAACTCACCCTTATGGCCTTACGTAATTTTGCGCTTGGAAAAAACATTTTTTGACTATTATTTATTATGGATGAAAGCAAAACGTAACGTAGCTGACCATGATTTGCGCTAAAAGCCTAAGTTTAACAATAATATTTAATAAAATTTAGTTTGAAAACAAAAATGTACCCCATTGTTGTTGAATTGATGGTGAAAATTGCAGAAAGAGTTCTTTTTTAACTAATAACACAACGACAGATGTAAAAGAAAATAGAAAATACTGTCAAATCGGCTTAATAAACCACACAAGAAGTAGATAATAACGAAACGAAGAAACCTACTATTAATATGCTATAATTAATTACATTTGAACCACTGCGGCCAAAAATCGGCATTAAAAWTTTGCTGGCAAAATCGGTTTTAACAGCAATGCTCCTCCGCAAATACACTTTACAAGAATTTAGTGYGTGTGTGTATGTATGTGTGCGTGTAAATTAACTTTTTTTCCAAACAATGATAAAACAAATATATGTATATACAAATGAAACTAATAAAAAATTTTAACAACATAGAGAAATAACTACAAAATTTCGTAGAAGACGCGAAAATTTATACATACATCATTTATATACACCTATGTATATATATATATATAGATATATATGTATGTGTAAAGCATTGCTTTTATACTTTTGTTTAACATGGCATGGCGTGAGCGCGCGTACACTTAGTCTAACTACCGCTCCTCTCTCTCAACACTTTGCACTGCGCTGTCGCCGTTCGTTTGTGCCGCGTAATTTACCGAACAAAGAACGTGGAACTGACAACATACATACAGATGGTTAAGTAATTTACTTTATACTATTTTAAAGATTTATATAAACTTTTTTTAGCGTTTGCTTGTTTGTTTCACTTGTAGGATAATAATTATAGTTTGTTGCTTCTTCTCGCTTGTTTTGTAAACATAGTTGTTGTAAAGGTATTTCTCTTCATTTCAWTTGTGATTAGGCTAAATTGGATTTGTTGAGCGCGTTCAACTCAACAGAACTTTAGATTTTTGCAGTTTCCACCATATCGATGTTCAGTTTGTAAAACACATAGGGAAAGTATTCCGATTGGCCAAAGCCCAAGCCAGGGATGTCAACATTCTATATGCGAAAAGAGAGTGTATATTTATAGAAGTTATTTTAATGCCAATAAATAGATATAAATGCAAACTTGACTTACATCAATGCTGGCATTGCTCTGACCGCCAGCAGAAGCACCATCCAAGTGTCCATAAAGTTGGTTAAGGCATTCACGTAGGCGTTTCACACTCTTCTTGTTGGGTTCGATGAGGATGGCTTGGAAATTGACAGGTAGACCGTATCTGTGGAKTAGAAGAAAGCGTGGTTAAATATTATGAGCTTTGATTTAAACGTTTTGCGTCAACTTATGAGAGGAGTTAGGGTTTCACAGTAAAAAAATACTTTTTTTGCGAGTATTTTTCTTAAATATTGATTGAGTATCTAATTTTATTCGGACCTTTGTACATTATTGAGCATATTTTTGACAATTAATTTTATACCACTAAATCAATACTATCTCAAGCGCAGCAATCCTTCGTTCATAATAGTGGGGTTTTGTATAGTAATTGATTATGGGGAGTAGAGTCAACGAAAAATTTCAGTTTTTTATTGAATTTATTGGGTATTTATGTGCCGTTCCAAAGGAAATAATGAAAATGAAAGCAAAAGTTTCGAAATTTTGTAACTTTGGGTTTTTTTTTGTCAATAAAAGGTTATATACAGAACAGAAGCTGACTGAGAATGCGTAAGAAAGTTCGAAATTTGCAGSTTTTGTCTATGGAATGTTATATACAGATCAGAAAATGGGCAAAAATACACGCSCTTCTCACAAAATCGTGACATACTTATTCATACCAAGATATATACTACTCACCTCAAAACGGATTCTACAAAGACGCGCAGCGCTTTCACATGCACCAAAGCACAGAAAGCTTCGCTGAAGTTTACCTTCAACCATCTGACCAATGGGCCCTRCGGAAAAAAAATTAATTTATTTTTATTTAATAATTTTTTTTTTATTACTACTAATGATTTTTTTTGTAAACCCTAGCTGAAGTTACAGTTTTTGTCATTAAAAATAGATTTCAACACAAATATCTTTTTTATTATCAATTTCAATCGTGGCTAAACATTTTACTATTCCTATAAATTTGACATGGGATTTCTTTCTATACATTTTTTATTTTCAATTTCCGGGTACCCTTTTTGTCACAATGTAAGCCTATAACCTTAATATGATGATATTCTAGTAAAGAATTGTTCGCTCTACAGAAAAGGTCATAATGATTTTTTTTTTGTAAAAGCATTCCTTTAAAAATTATGTGTACTGTATTCATATAGTACACCWTGTCGTATGAGCAACATAGAATGTATGGTATAATTCATTTATATGAATGCACAGTAAACTTGATGCATAACTTTGACTGGGTATAAGTTGTTGTTGTTGTCGTAGCGGCGGAATACTGCCGAGTTGACGTCCTTGGACGGGTTAAAAATCCGAGTTCGTTCCGGTTWARYAGACCAGACTGTCGTGGGAACGACTGGGTATAACTTCCAGAAGCGTGCTTTTATGGAAAAAATCATTCAGATATTTTTCTTAGAGCAAGAAATTTATAACATCAATTTTTAAAAATAAAAGAAATATCGGCATGATTTAAATTGAAAACAAGCAACTTGTTTGKGTTGAAACCTTTTTTGGGGCAAAAACTGAAACTACAAGGTGTGTTAGACAAARAAAATTAACTTGATATACATATAACGAACACCCTAATGTATACATATATGTATATTTATATATAATACTTACAAATTGCTTCTTCTTATCAGTAATGAGCTTGGTCATCTCATTCTTGCCAGCTGCTAATTCCTCCTCATTATAGACGAAGTCACGTACAATGAATTTGCGTTCACGCGCATGCAGTTTGAATTCTTCAACGACCTTCTTGAAGAGTGTCACATTGAACAAGCAATAATCATTGTCTTGTGTGATCATTTGCGAGGAACGTGGCACGATCATGTCAGTGATCTTCTCGTAGTTGGCTAACCAATCGTTAGCAAGAATTCTACAAGGAAAAGGAGGGAATATTAGAAAMTTGAAAAACTTATAAGTTTTGAATTAAACTTACTTTGGCACAATCACCAACAATGTGGTCAAATACTCCGAATCGAGAATGAAGTGTTCCTTCTTGACCAAATCGGCCAAATTACGGGTCAGCAAACTTCCGCTGAAAAATTAAAAGTAAATTAAATTAGGTAAAATTAAATGTTTACTTAAATGTTTTTTTTTCACTTTTCGCGAGGGTAGCGCTTGAATTATTCTTTCCACTTTTTCCATTAAAAATTTTAAAATTTTGCTTTTTAAATTTTGTTACACTTACGTTTGCTTCTTCTCCAGATTTTGCAAGTTACCCTTAAGACTGTTGTAAGCCGTTGACTTAGTCTTCAAATCCGCATCGATTTGCCCAATTTGTTTCGAAATAATATCGGCAATATTGCGCAACGACTGCTTAATCGGGTACTTGGCCATATCCCATTGAAAGCGGGTAATGTACACGGATAGATCGGCTATGCGTATGGAAATTTGCCGAGCGTTGACGAAGTTAATAAATGGCGAGAAAGTGAAGACGAAGTTGAAAAAACGGTAAAATACGATTAGTGACATACATAATATATTGAAAAATATATTTAATCGGTAAAATATGAGTTTTTAGAGTATATGCAAATATATAAATTGATATGTAAAAAAAAGGTAATTGAAAAAAATTAATAATTATAGAAAAGTTGCTGTCAAATGCTTGGTAGTTTTGAAAAAAAAAAAAATTATTTATATTTTAATAAAATTAGACAAGCATTTGACCTGGAGCGTAGATTTAAGCCGCACTTAAGCTAAATTATTCATCTTC